CGAACTTTAATATTGGCAGTGCCCTACAATAGGATGAAATTCACTATATGCTCAAAGTTACATATCGAAAAGAATTAGAAAAAACGAGACAAAACAATTTGGAAACGCAAGGTTGGAGAGTTGTTGCGTCTTATTCATTGTTTTAAATAGTTCACTATGTAGCTCGCTATATAAGTTTTTTTCGAAAAAACGTGAGCTTTATATATTTAGCGTTTTTTCCGAAAAGCTTACGCGAAATGTTGAAACGCTTACGCTATTTTGCGTTATTTCACGCTATTGTGCGCTACATTGGGCTATATTTCTGCAACGACATTTGAACAATAAAATATTCAAAAACTCGTATTTTTAGGGATCAGAGTCAAATTTACAAATGACAATTAAAAACTAAAATTTTTGATAATGATTTCAAATTAGAAGTTTTAAAATGCAAAGTCCTAAGTTGAATAGGCCAATAATTTTTGGTCTATTTTTGTTGTATAATTTTATTTTTCGGTATTTGGCATTTAAATACAAAATAAAAAGTTCTATCTAATGGTTAGATTTTAGTTGTAGTTAAATAAAAAAAATAATAATTAAAATGCATATACTTAAAATTATATTATGACTTACCTCATTATATTTTCGTTGTTTGTTTTTACTTTTTAGTATATTCAATTATTATTAAATATTTATATTATGATGATATTTACATTAAACATTTGTGAGAATTAATCCTTAGATGTTATTTTTGAAGTCATTCAAAATACTATGATAATTTTTCTAATCAACTATCCATTTTTATTATATGCAAATATACCTATAATATTTTTATATAAAAAAAAATTATACTCAAATAGCTTACGCAACACGCAACGCTATTTACGCTACGTATTATAAAGACAAAAGAACGACGCGTTTTAAAACACTGGTCTTATTGAGTTGGAGTGGACCAAAAGCGGTCCCACATAAAAATTAAAAAGGTTCCAATTTGTTGTTGAAAAACGAAGCCGCGCCCGTAAAGTAAAAGAGATGTTTTTATTTTTATTTTTTTTCTCGCTCTAATCCAACAAATATAATTATTGTAATTATAATCGTTATCTTCTTTGGGATGAATGAGTGGTGTGCTGAAAAGACATGCAATTTTGTTTCTATTATATCAAGTTGCATAAAAGATACTCGTTATTGGTTGATATTAAAATTAATTTAGTTGTAGTCTTGTAGAAACCAAGATGCTCGTTAAATCTACTTAGCTGTTCGAGTTTGGATTGAAGTTTTGAGTTTTCAGATATAAGAGTTTTAAATTTGCGGTCCTCGGTTCATCTTTGGGTTTGGAAACTGGCTCATTTCTAGCTGTAGGGTAGTGTGGCAACAACGTTGGTTTTATAAGAATCAAGAGAAAAATTATTATACTTTTTTTTTTTTTTGGCTTAGTTACTTGGTAGTCCTAATTGTGTCTGAGTGTTATATTCTTCGAGCAGTTAAATCTTGGTCATGCATCTTGATTTTTATTTAATAGTTAGAATTGAGTTTCACATACTCACTTTAGGAATTAATTGAAACTAATCACTGTATATATAGATATATATCATGTAATCTAATCAAGTGCATGAGTGGTGGGACCATAAAGACACATACTTTGCAAATATGTATGTAGGAAAGCAAATGGTGGTGTCTGGTAATATGCAGATCTTTTTCTGGACTCATAGTATATGGCCATTAGCTACACCTTTATTTTTTAAAGAAAATAAAAATTGTTTCTGTCATATATTTTGTCCTGTGTCTTTTCCTATGTACAAAATGCTTTGGAATGTAGTCAAAATTCTCGACCAGATACATTCTTAGCCCATCAAGCAATTGTGATGTATTTGAAATCGAGTGTGTGTGGCAGTGTTTGGGAACATCACGAATTCTTTAATTATCGCTGTTCTAATTCGAAAACAATGCTATCGTAGAAAAATTAGAACTTGGCAGTCTATGACATATAAAATTGACATTTTGACAACACGGGTACATAGAAATATTAATGTACTTATAGAGTTTTATTACTTTATACATATAACTAATAAGTGTCATTTTTTTTTAAAAAAAAAACAAGAATTATCTGACAATTCCTGTTGTGGATAATATTATTCTTAGTTAAATATCTTTAAATTATATATTAATATATTACTTTCTTAATAAATTTTCTCCTTGTAATTTTATCATTCTTTCTATTTCTTATATTTTATTATTCTATTTCAGTTCTTTCTACTTGATACGTCAAATTGTCCTGAACCGCTGGACCGCCTCTTCTGAATCGGTTCGCCTTTCTTGGATCGCCGGTAACCTGCAAAACACGCCGGGGGTGGTCCCGGCGCGAACACTCCGACGCCCAAGTCAGTCAAGAATTCAGAAAGGGTAGCAGATATAGAAGACAATGCGTATTTCGTAGATGTTGTGTGTTATATGTAAGAGGAAAGGAACCTGCGCCTTTTATATCCGAAGGCGAACGCCCTAAAGACTCTTGTGATGACAAGAGTCCTTCTTCCGCCTACCTCTGGACAATGCAAATCTTATCCAACGACCGTAGAGTCCTGCTCGACCCTGTCTCCCTATGATCCGGGAAGATCTCCGCGATACGCGCAACGGCTCCCGGTTGTAACATCATCCACCTCCTTCTACCAAGCTGATCTCTTCCTTTGTACCGCCGAGCTCATTCCTAGCATTCAGGTGTGTTCGCCCAAGGTTTACTTCATTTATCAGCTCGACCACCTACCCAGCTTACAAGCTTGGCCTCCCACAGTTGACCAACTAGCTCGGCTAGTCAGCTAGGTTCTCGCACTTGGTCGAGCTCATCTGAGCTCCAGCGCTTACTTTGAGTGGACCGGGTCAGCCTACTTGCCGGGCTACTTCCTTTAATATCAGCGATGCTATGCTACATCATCTAGCCCCCTATTTCCGGACGAGTTCTGCAAACATGTCCGAGAAATAAAGAAATGTGAGCATCGCAAAAGGTCATTAGCTCGTCTCATCACAAAATCGCGAGCTCGTCGCATCACAAGACCATGAGCTCGTCGTTCCACAAAATCACAAGCGCATCATACCACAAAATCGCGAACTCGTCGCATCAACGAAGCTATGAGCTCGTCTCATCTACAAGGTTATGTGAAACTCATCATTGCGACAAACAAGCTCATCATGCCCCTCCGAGCTCGACGCGCCACAATCCCGAGAAGCTCCTTACGTTACAATCTGACTAGCTCACCATATCATGATTACCCTAAGCTCACGATATCGTAACTTCATGCCGAGCTCGTCACCCCCAGATGTCTAGGAGCTCGTCACCTTCACAAATATCAGGAGCTCGTTATATGGGCTCGTCACATCACAATCCGTGAGCTCGTCCTATGAGCTCGTCACATGAGCTCATCACCTGGCAAGATTTTGAGCTCGTCGCATGCCAAATCACGAGCTCGTCATACCACAAAGTCGCGAGCCCGTCGCATCGCGACCTTCGCGAGCTCATCGTAACATCACCCCCACGAGCTCATCACTGCCTTTGCGAGCTCGTCGTAGCATCATCTATGCGAGCTCGTCGTAACACCACAATCTCAGCGAACGTGTTACACCCTCCGGATCTTGTCAATTTTATGACATCATTCAGCTCAGCATACGACCTAGCTCGTCACGTGATCCCTTCCAGAGAACTTGTCACCTCGCAACTTTGAAGAGCTCGTCATATCGCAAACCGCGAGCTCGTCACTCCAACAAAAATCCGCGAGCTTGTCGCATCGCTGCTGTGAGCTCGTCACAACACCCCGAGCTCGTCACTCCAACAAAAATCCGCGAGCTCGTCACTCCAACAAAAATCCGCGAGCTCGTCGTATCGTCAAAACTGTGAGCTTGGCATCCCGCCTTCACATCACAATTATAATGGGTTCGCTACACTTCAATTTGTCCCGCTATAATGAGCTCGTCATTCTTGTGAGCTCGGCCTATAATGAGCTCGCTATGTCGCAATCTGTGAGCTCGTCTCAATACCGCGAGCTCGTCACTCCAAATGAGCTCGTCATTCTTGTGGGCTCGGCCTATAATGAGCTCGCTATGTCGAAATCTGACGGGCTCGACACGCAATATCTCCTTCCCACGCGCTCGGCACATGACCTATGGGAGCGTACCCTCCATTAACGTGCACCGACCTTCCTCGCTGCTTCTCCTCATTGTATTATTTTGTTATGATGACGAGCTTCGGGCTCCGTCATGACCTCCCCACTCAATTTCAATCCTCCCAACGGTCATAAGTGCTTACATCTATAAACCGTTTCTCATCATTGATACACCCTTCAAACGAGCGGCTGAGATACGACACTCTGCTCAATTTCCCAAAGCTTTCGGCCCACGCCTCCTGTCACATCATCAAATCTTATCCGAAATGAACGGCCATGATTAGCTGCCTTTTCCCCTTCTTCGCCATCTCAACCCTCCATGTTAGTGACCCTTCAAATCCCCATCTACTACCTTCATACATATATATATATATATATGCATACAGGAGTAACTCCTTTTCACATTCCTCCACTCCAATACCATACCTACGATTTTCTAAAAATCAAAATCCGGCAACGGCACCCACGCCCCGACGTTTCGCATATTCTGGGCCACCATTTTCAGCAATCCCAACAATCTCATGGGTAAGCATCATCTTGGATTTAAATTTCGTTGCTTCTGATTTATACCCTCACTACGTTTTATCATGTCCTTAACTTGTACAAATAACAGTATTATCACCCCTTAATTTTTCATACTGCATCTCTTTGCACTTAGCTCATCTCGCTTCCCCGACTAACTTCAATACCTACTCACCTTCGAACTCGGAACCCCTAGGTGAGCCATCCCTGACCCTAGCTCTACCAGCTCAGGCAGGTGAAGCTAGCTCCACCTCGGCTACCGATAAAGCCAAGGGCGTGGTTCCTGCAATCACCTCGGCATGCCCTAGCGTGCTAGCGTCTTATTCCTCTGATAAAATTGCGAAAATATTGGAGGAGGTCGAGCTTCCAGTGGCTGGAAGTTGAAGGTGCCGCGGCCCAACAACACGTATGACAATCCACCGTCGGGCTATTACACCTTCTTTCTTGATCAAGCGGCAGCCGGGTTAAAATTCCCTCTACGGGATAATCTCATAACTCTTAGCAATTTATACCGTTTGCCCATAAACCAATTCGCGCCAAATGCCATTAGGATGCTAGTGGGATTCATCATAGTGTGCCGAGCTAAGCTAGGCGAATTAGACCCCGAGCTATGCTTTTATTGTCTTTGGATGAAACCTCTCGGCACCTCCTTTTATCTATCAACTCGTCATGGTGCTAAATTTATTACCCGACCGACCTCCAAGATCCACAATTGGAAGAGTAAATTTTACTACCTCTGTCCTCCTGCCAAAACGTTTGATTTCCCACCCGAGTGGATTCATGTGCTACCTCGCCAACGCGAAAATCCTCGTCCCAACGCTAAATACGATGCCCTCATCCAAGAATGGAACAAAAAACCTCTCCACATTGTAAAATTAACATCGGACATTCGCTTACTTCGCCACTTTAAGTTGTCTAACTGCCCTGCTGCTCCTGTGACCGACATAGGTGGGTATCATTGCGACGAGCTAATTACGCAGAACTTACGTCATTTTAATATTTACTTGAGCATGCTAACTGTAATCCGCTTATTGTTCTTATATATTTCCCATATTGCAGAGAGCATTTTTAAAGCGGCCCTCGCTACACCTAAGCACAAAGAGAACTCTGCTCAACCATCGCAGCCTGCCGAGACCATTGCCGACCTGCCTTCATCAAGTGCTCAAGATGAACACCCTCCCTCACAATCAACTTCTCAGGATCCGAAAATAAAACGCCGTAAGTTGACTAAAAGAAATGGCTCTAACGCCAAGAAAACCAAGCAGTCGTCCAAAAAATACACCGGCTCCAAACCTGTGCTAGAGCAACTAGACCCCTTGTTGGCAACTCTGACGCTAGCTCGGCCGCCACCTACATGCTTTCAATATTTCCAGAAGAAGAAACTTCATGCTAGAAAGACAGTCAAACTCGAGCCTCTGTCACTCTGCACAACCTGGTGAAGGTATCTTCATCACCGCATCGTGTGCTTTCTTAAGCTCTCTTCCGGCGATAGACTTTCTTACCTCAAGTATTATTATTACTTTTAGACTTTGGCCGGCCTTGCTCCTATTCTACATGAGGGAATAGAAGGGACCTCTGAAGTCAAAACTCTCCAGAATGAGCGCGACACTGCTAAGGCCGAGCTGACCAGCATAAAAGAGGTCTACGACCGCCAGAAGGAGGAGATGGACCATTTGACAGCTGAGCTGTAATTGAAAGAAGCTGAGGTCGTCCATCTTCAAAATCAAACGCATGCGAAAGAATCTGAACTAATTTCCCTTCGCCTCTTCATGGACCAGCGCATTGCCGAAGCTCGCTCTGCCGGCGAGACTTCCTTCCTTTCTTCTGACTTTGGTACTTACTTTCTCGAGCATTACCGCATCGAGCTATTGAAATACTTTGAACACACCACAGATTTCCTGGGTAAGCTCGGCCCCGCCTGTGTTCAATATTTTCAGGTGGGCGTGGAGCGTGCCCTTGCTCGGGCCCGGGAGCAGGGATTTACCGGTTCCGTGGACGAGGCTGCCTTACTCACTGATTTTCCTGAGCCCATTGGGTGGAACGACGATAAATCGCAGCCAGCTGACGCTCCATGGTGGACACTAGTGCTTGAAGTGGCCAGGAAGAAGGCCGACCTCGCTAGTGACGAAGAAGATGAGGAGGGAGACCAAGAGTGATCACTTAGTCTTGTTATGAAATTGTTTTTTTTTTACTTTTGTGATGTTCTGCACTATGAATTATTTGTATCGTAAGATCGGCTCATAGCTTCTTATCGTTTTGGATGTACGCCCGCCTTTATCTATTTACTTCAATCAATCAAACATGTTGTGTTGCTAAGTGCTTTTAACTTATTCTTCCTTACGCTTGTTCACCGACCTTCCTGCCCTAATGCGGCAACATGTTAATCCTTATACTGGGCTCAGAAGTATTACTTATATAACCACATCGGCAAATGCGTAAAAATTGCAAGTCCCCTCACCGAACTTTGAACTGATACATAACCACCAGCATGCAAACTTTTCCAATTATCAGGCCCGACTGCTGGTATGTTTTTATATTCAAAGCCGGGCTACCTAGACATCCTTCCTCACAAATCACCATTTATATTTAACAGAAGTCGTTTCATATGCCGCTAAGCTTGACCATCTCACGGCCTTCCTTATTACTAAAAATTATCGTGCCTCGGCACGTATGTAGCTCTCCTGAAGCAGGCTTCCTCCCAAAAACATTATCGCCGAGCTCAACGAGCTTACGATATTTCGAAACAGGCTTTCGCCCTAAAATATTATCGCCGAGCTCAATGAGCTTGCGATATTTCGAAGCAGGCTTTCGCCCTAAACAACCATCGCCTAGCTCAAATAGCTTGCGAATTATGTAAGGCAGGCTTTCGCCCTAAACAACCATCACCTAGCTCCACGAGCTTGCGATATTATCAAAACAAGCATAATTCGTAAAATGGTAACTTTCATTATTCAAGGAGAAAACGACATTATTCGAAGAGAAAGCAACATTATTTGGAAAGAAAATAACACCAATTATTCAAGTAATAAATATATAAGAGAGTCTTCTCAGCTAGGCATAATACTTCTTCAGGTGGAGTATACTCCATGGTCGTGGTAACACCCGCCCTTTCATATCACTGAGCTCGTATGCTCCCCCCGTCAGGATCCGCTCGACTTTATAAGGCCCTTCCCAATTGGGTTCCAATTTTCCAACATGCTTCAGAGCGTCGGCTTGTCGCCAGACTAGGTCTCCCACCTGAAGACGCCTAGCTCGTACAGATTTATCGTGAGCTGCCCTCATTCGTTGTTTATACGCCATCATCCTTACCCTTGCCTGATCACGCAACTCATCAACCAAATCAAGTGCCTCCCGTCGCGAATCTGTATTCACAGCTTCATAATAAGTATCGATCCTCCTTGAGCTGAGGTCAATCTCAACTGGAATGACCGCCTTCATTCCATAAACTAAACTGAACGGTGTCTCTCCTGTCGAAGCTCTAGGAGTCGTTCGATATGACCAAAGAACTGAGTCGAGCTCGTCAACCCAAGCTCCCAAGGCCCCTTCCAACCTAGCCTTTAGTCCATTTAGAATGGATCTATTCGCCACCTCCGCTTGTCCATTAGCTTGCGGGTGTGCTACCGAGGCAAACTGCTGCTTAATCTTCATGTTCTCGCACCACTCCATGATATGCCGACCTCTGAACTGAGTCCCGTTATCCGAAATGAGAAATCGAGGAATACCATATCGACAGCAAATATTAGTAAACAAGAACGTTATCATTTTGTCTTCTGTAATTTTGGCCAAAGGCTCCGCTTCAATCTACTTTGTGAACTTATAGGCATTATGCCCTCTGCAGGCCGATGAATGAGAGGGCCATGCCGCTGACACTTGAGACATTTCCGGACCATCTCTTGCGCCATTGTCCTCATGGTGGGCCAGAAATACCCCGCTCGCAGTACCTTTCCTGCCAACGATCGAGCCTTCATATGATCGTCGCCACATCCTTCATGGACCTCGCGCAACACATAGTCTCCTTCATGCTCGGAAACACACCTCAAGTGTGGTCCTACATAAGATCCTTTGTACAAAATCCCATTCTGCAGGTAGAATCGTGAAGCCCGCCGACCTACCGGGTCATTCCTTATATCCTTTCCGTCAACCAGCTCCTGCAACCATTTTATCAAAGGCGATCTCCAATCCTCATGCTCTTCTACTTCCAAAACCCGATCCAAAGTACTCCCCGTCATTTCCATTAAAGTAACCGACCGTGATTTACAATCCACCACTGTCGCCGCCATCTTTGACAGGAGGTCAGCTCGGCCATTTTCAGCTCGTGGTATCTGTATGAGTTCCCAGGACCTGAATCCATTAAGTAATGACCGTACCTCAACTACATACTTTCGCATGCGCTCCTCCTTTGCCTCGTATTCTCCCTTAACCTGCTCAACTACCAGCTGAGAATCTGAATGGAGCATCACTTGACGAGCTCCCTCCTTAAGGACGAGCTGTATCCCCTGCAACAAGACTTCATATTCTGCTTCATTATTTGAGACTCTAAAACCTAACTTCACAGCAAACTCCAAATGATCACCCTTGGGAGTGACGATTAGGATGCCGAGCCCGGCACCTCCGATTGCCGAGGATCCGTCCGTGTATACCATCCATTTTCCTTCCTCCTTTCTCACAGTACATTCTTGTATAAAATCCGCCAAAGCCTGAGCCTTTATTGCCCGTCTTGGCTCAAACTCGACGTTGTACTCCCTTAGCTCAATCGCCCACTTCACCATTCTTCCTGAGGCTGAGGGACGACCTAGAGTATCTTTGAACGGATAATTGGTCCTTACTACCACCTTATGCGCAAGAAAGTAGGGCCGAAGCTTGCGAGTTGTAGCAATGAGCGCCAGCGCAGCCTTTTCCACTTCTGAGCACCGGCGCTCAGCTCCTTGTAATATCCGACTAGTATAATATATCGGCCTTTGTTGGCCGTGCTCCTCCTTTAACAGCACCGAGCTAATAGCTTCTTCTCCTACCGACAGGTATACCACTAAGTCGTCTCCGGGTTCTGGTTTTGTAAGTAAAGGTAGCTCGGCGAGGAACTCTTTCAGTCTTTCAAAGGCATGTTGCGCCTGCTGCGTCCACTCAAAACGAGATCCTTTCTTTAGGGCACGAAAGAAGGGAAAACTTTTTTCCGCGGCCTGCGCTATGAACCTGCTCAAGCCAGTGAGGCGCCCTGCCAGGACCTGCACCTCCTTTAAGTTCACGGGTGCCCTCATCTCGATAACAGCTCGGACTTTCTCAGGATTTACCTCTATCCCTTTTTCCGTCACCAGGTACCCTAAGAACTTTCCTGATCGTACCCCAAATTTACACTTTGTTGGGTTGAGCTTCATGTCATATCGCCGTAAAGTGGTGAAGGTCTCCCTTAGGTCCTCCACATGATCGCACGCCTTCCTACTCTTTACGAGCATATCATCCACGTAAACCTCCATGTTCCGTCCGATCTGGCCTTTAAACAACTTATCTACTAATCGTTGGTACGTTGCCCCAACATTTTTAAGTCCAAAAGGCATTACGACATAGCAGTAAGTACCCTTGGACGTTATAAAACTAACCCTCTTGCGATCCTCCTTTGCAAGAGGAATTTGGTGGTATCCCTGCGAAGCATCCATCATACTCAACAGTTCACACCCCGCCGTGGAATCGACGAGCTGATCTATCCGTGGTAATGGATAATGGTCCTTAGGGCAAGCTTTGTTCAAATCGCGAAAGTCTATACACATTCTCCACTTATCCTCACCTTTGCGTACCATCACAGAGTTTGACAACCACTCCGGAAATTGTATGGGCTCTATATGCCCCACTTTCAGTAGCTTATTCACCTCGGCCTCTATAACCTCATCCAGCTCGGCGCCGAAATGCCGCCTTTTTTGCTTAACTGGCCTTACTGTTAGGTCAATATTCAATCTGTGCTCGGCCACTTTTGGACTAATTCCAACGAGCTCATCAGGTGCAAAGGCGAATACGTCCACAAACTCTCTCAGCAATGCCACCAACGCCTTCTGGATGCTTTCTTCTAAATATCGACCTACCTTAGCTGTTTTCAAAGGGACCCCTTTGACCAGCTCCACCTCCATGAGCTCATCCTGGGAATCTAAGCCCAACTCCTGTCGTCTACCTTGATGCGATGATTCAGGGGGATCCTCCGTCTTCCTCTTCTTATTCAACGCCTCTGCAGTCTTCAATGTTACTTCGTAACAGCGGCGCGACTACAACTGATCTTCCATCACCTCCCCGACTTCGTCTCCCACAGGGAACTTAATTTTCATACACCACGTTGAGACGGCAGCTTGGAACGCGTTCAGGCTGGGGCGTCCCAGAATGATATTGTACGCCGAGCTGGCATCGATGACCAGAAATCTAACCATTTTTACCTTCCTTGTGAGAGCTCGTCCTAGGGCTACTGTTAGGTTCACCTCCTCCATGGGTCGGACCTCATTGCCACTAAAACCGTATAGGGCAGTGTGCACCGGCTCCATTTTTACCTCCAACTCCATCTGCTGCAAACATTTCCAGAAAATGATATCCGCCGAACTTCCAGTATCTATCAGAACCCTCTGCACATCGTAACTCGCCACCTCAGCCGTAATCACCAAGGCATCATTATGGGGAACCACGACCCCCTGCACATCATTCGCGCTGAAGTTCAGGGTAACCGAACTTGCTTGTACCCTGACCTCAGCCACCTCGTCCATCATGCTCTTTCCTCGATATGTTCTTTTCCTCTCCCTGTGTGAGTCACCATCCGTAGGACCTCCTGCTATCATATGAATCACCCCTTTCTTCACTGGTCTATCTGGCTGTTCTTCCATTCTCCGGCGTTTGTCACCCCGCTCACGCCCCTCTGGGCGCTCGTCACGACGTTCCTTGTCCTATATCACGAACTCCTTCAGGTGCCCGACCCTGATAAGCCGCTCAATCTCATCTTTTAGCTCCCGACAGAAATTGGTAGAATGACCATAATCGCGGTGGTATCGGCAATACCTATCCTTTCCTGCCGAGAATTTTCGCGGTGGAGGCAAGGGCTTAGGTGGTGCTAACAACTTAGTCTCTCCTCGTTGCTCAATCACTTCAAGAATTTCCTGCTGAGGAGCCTTCAATGGTTTGTAATGCTCAT